CGTACATCTTGCGTCATGACTGTCTCCGTAAACAGATTCATCCCGATGATTCAAAAACTCGTCTTTATTTGCGCTTTCTATGCATATATAAATATGTATAAAGGTGTATTATCGTTCAGTATGTGGCACGCGTCAATCAAACGTATGTACATGAAACCCACCGATTTGTCACTCCGCCATTTACAATAGTGGAAGCCATTTTTGTGACAATAATTAACAGATAGATATGTTCCTCCGGACGCTTTCTAGTTTTTGTTTTCTATAATAATTATCATCACAATGAGCGACACGATCTCTTTCTAGTCACCGCTGTTGCGGTATTTTGAATATAATTAAGCGGTCCTGTTCAATAAGCCGGACTAAATTAACATGTATTGGTACAGGTCGAACGAATTTCGTCGTAGTACATAAATTTCAATGCATTGTTAGTACATTGTTAATAACTGAAATGTTGCTATAATCGTCTCGTAGTATGTATGTTTGTGAGTGTGAACAGTTTTTAGTGTCGGCGGCTCTCGCTCGGTAGGTAATTGTCGCTGTAAGTATTTTAGCGTCGTATGTGAAGCGTTAAACAGCTGTTAAGCATGAGTTAGCGTCCGACGCTATGATGTGTACCGGCGGCGCGTCACGCCGTCAATGGGTCAGGTTATTTACCTCTTCTTATCACCTTTTGTTTTGCTCAAACACTTGGCGCTTTTCGTATATCGATTTCCCGGCTTTTACTCGCACTAGCTAGAGGGCTTATGTCTTCGTGTTTGATTCGTCGCATACTATTTTTGTGTGAGGAAGGCGAATGGAATGTTTGTAAAACAATATCGTATCAAAAGTCCACAATGAAATAGAAGCCGGGCCATTGGATGAGGCTAAATAAAGCATCGGAGGCTGATCGGCGATACAGGTCCTTGTGTCCACATTAGCATCTCGACGGAGGAGTGTGCAAACAGCGAGGGTCATCTGATGAAATGTTCAAAGGCTTTTAGTTCCCGAGAATTATTAAATGAAGCCCCAGGATCGTAATGTAAACAAGCCGTGTTTGTCGGACCGAGAACCTGTTGCTTTGTCGACGTTCTGATGCGAGCCTCCACTTATTGGCGGTTATTTTATGTCTCCTGATGTTAATGTTACCGAGCCTTTTAATATTGCAACTTTGTGACTGTACAATATCTATCTGCTATTGCTTTATGTCTCTCTATTATGTACGTATGTTATTATTGTATTCTTTGTGACTCTCGCAACACTGGATGGATACGATTTTAATGTATTTTGCTTACATTCTCATGGAGCGCTGTTAATTTACCGGCGCCTACATATCAACGAGTCATTTGTGAGTTATGTAAACTCCGAAGATTTCCCTTCGTCGTCGACAATATTGCGTACATGGATGTTGCAATGGAACAAGAGATACGTGTAGATATCTAGGCAAATATGTAAGGTCTATGTAAACAGTGGTAGCGAGTATCCTGGTGCTAATACTGCTAATGTGTGGACAAAGCTGGTCGTGACGGGCCCCGCTAATAAATGTTCCAGGGAGCTCCAACTGATGTATCACGCGGTCTTAAGGAATATGTTCTACGTTATTGTCTCTTTTTGATATATATTTAAATTTATCAATGGAGTTCATTTAATTCGTTTATAACTTAAAGATTCATATGTACGGAACTGTTAATACGTATGATTCACGATACAAATAGTGTTTACATAATAATGACGTCACATCTCATTAGTTATCAATACAACATCGAGAATTGAAAAACAATGGAAGACGAAATAATTAGTACAACATCTAAAGAAAACAAAAGTAAATATTAACTGAGGAGATCGAACGTAGATGCTCTCTTTAGACGTGTTATTAACAAGTGTATGACATTTCTTTAAATCACTCTCCTATACGTAGATATATGCATTAACTGGACGTGCGTTATTTTATTACCATCGATATTTACATTGGATACAGAACACGTTTAGTGTACATCATTCATTACAAGTTTTCTATTTGATTTCGCCTCATAAAAGCCGCTCGCACGGACACGATTACGATTTCTATCACAAATATTACATTGTACAAAGGCTGGGCGATTTCATACAAATAATCATATACATACTGGGATTGTCAACAATATTACCGTGGATTAAGATTCAATTTGCATTGTCATAAATAGAATTTATTCACGTAGTAGGTGCGCCGTCTGTAATCGCTTCATAAAGTAGCACTTTCCTTAAGTACGGCTCATTCATTGATATAGACAAAAAAAATACTGCTATACTAATATAGTCTTCATTGTTGTTGTATTAAAGTTATATTTTGTATAGCCATGTACGTGTTTATGTGTTAATGAACGGTCCGTCCTTCTGTTTATAGAGCTAGTGTTTCGGAAATCTTCTGAGAAGGTTCTTGTTTATTCAAACAATAAAGTAGTTCGTTTAAATGGTACCGATCGATGAATTCTATCACTTTCAATTTTATCATTTCACGTAAAATAAGATCGTTGTAATTTATAGTTATATTATAAAATAGCTTTCAGTCCGCAGCTTCGCCCGCGTGGAGTTCGGTTATATCGCGTTTCCAAGAGAACTTTTCAAAAGTCTTAGGTAAAAACTATCCTATGTTCTTTCTCAAAGTCAACTCTATCTCTGTATCAAATTTTATTAAAATCAGTTCAGTGGTTTAGGCGTGAAAGCGTATCAGACAGACAGACAGAGTTACTTTCGCATTTATAATATTAGTAGGGATAAAATACATAGTTTATAATACGGAACATTACTGCGACTGAAGTGAAAATTTTCTTTGAATGTTCTCAGAAACGTTATTAAATCACATAGCCGTACCAATGGACATTTTCATTTAGAAAATAGATATAATGTGTCTCCAATAACCGAGGGCGATGTTGGTTGAGTCGAGATAAACATTACTACGTAGGAAGTGTTAAGTTGTAGTGAAATTCCGGTCACATTTATTGACATACACTACCATCGAATCTTGATAACGGTTATCTTATTATTATAAAATCACGAGAAGTTTTTCAACAATGAAGCACGATATATACATATATATATGTTTGTTTGTGTTGGAGTTAGCGTATAAAACATCATCCTACTTAACTTGCTTTGTTGATTTTATATATTTGTAACTCTATAATAACATTAAAGTAATTTATTATGTTAAATTGTTTTATAGAACGTTTAAGTCAATTTGCGGTCAGGATTGTTTTTTTAACTGAATTCAGTAGCTCGATGGGAATCATGAGAAAATCAGATATCTATGGATATATGGTTTGGGTTCTGGTGGTGTTTATTTTAATATGAGTTGTGATGCAGTGGTTTTTTTTACAGTGGTATAAATATAGCTAAAAACAACACAATATAATACTGATAATTGTTATCGTATTTTACATAACTTATAAAAATGAAACATATATGATTGTATTTCGGTGGTTAAAATTATCGATAAATAATGAGTTATTTTAAATTTTCCGCCAAGGGCACGTAGTGTATAAAGTTAAAACGGTCCACATATTAAATTCTACGGAACCCTAACCGTGTATTAGGGGAAGCTTGCGTGTTCCGAGCACAGCGTTTATCCGAACGAAACATTTCACCGATAATAACTCCACACAATATAATAATGCGAATAATAAATAAAAATGGAAATAAAATAATAATTTTAATGTCGTAATTGGTCCCGCGGGCTGTGGCTTCATTCCGACCGATCTGATTACCTCTTTCGTTATTGATACCGATATTTCGATGAATTCAAAGTACTGGACTGGTTTGACGCGCTCATTACCGCTGCTTGCGTGAAATGAATTCGCAACGCCTTGTTGTTGTATAAATGGATCATTTATGACTAGCCTTGGGAAATCTGATTATGATATTTTACGACATTTATTATACAATTTCAAGTATTGTTCGTGATTTTTATTTGATAATCGATATTAATATAGTTTTGTTTAGTTATAAGTTTTGATATATTTCCTTAGAGTAGTCTTAAACCGCTGGAGGTGTTTCGTTGACTACCCACCATATGCTATCTGGTCGTTATCATGTACATTTATTTTAGTTCTGTGAACTCTCCTCGGGCTAAATATTATTTAAGCCGCAAACAAATATAATTCGGAAAAAATTTCACATTTCATTATGTTATTTTTATATTTACTAAACATCGCGTCGCATAATTGAAGGCTGGATGTACCTACGTATTACTTTTGTTTTATGTATTGGAAATTTAAAAGAATTTGTTCATCGTGAAATTAATGTACATATTCATTTGACCGATATTTATAATATATAATATGGAAAACGTATGAGTTATATTGAAACAATATTACTAATTATTGTAAGTCAACTTTCATAAAACACGATAAATTTATTCTCTAGTCCAAATAAAGCAATGAAAATTTGTAAATCACTGTTGAGTTTTAAAATAAATAATATATTGGAAACACCGAGTTGTTATATCCATCAAAATATGTTATTACTTGTACGTGATTATTCGTGTGCAATTAATAGCTAACACAGCGAGTGTATTGACTCACTAGACGTGCTTGATCACACGGGCTCGCTTGCATTTATTTAAATACACCCACTCAGAGTGTTATACCGCTCATTATATATATAAGAGTGACAATTACAGTTAAATGTTAAATATAAAATGTTTAGTATCTGTGAGGATGTATAATTTAGTGTTGGACATATAAGGACATTTAAAAACTGGAGGGAGTTTTAATGGGAGGCGGAATTTATTCTTTTTATACATAATCGCCTGACGCTTCGCGACATTTGAGTAATTACGGGACAAGCTAGCCACACGACACCTGCGACTCAGTTAAGTTAAAAATACGATAATTATAAATACTTGGATCGCAATATTTATATGAGTTCTATGAAATCTTATAAGTTGAATAGTTGTATGAGTGGCCGTTGTTAGGCCGAGCGAGTGGGGATATGTTATAGAATATATTCGCGTGGGCATTAAAAGAGAGTAATATCAGTGCATTTCACAGTCGGCGCGCTCTGAAGGGGACTCATCAGGAGAGCAGTCGTGTGAGAGTTCAGATGAAGGAGTGGGTCGGGACGCGCCCCATCAGACACACCAGCCTCTCCACCACAACCTCGGACACACCATCAACCAACAGATAAACCACCACCAAAGAAACTCGCCGCGGCCCATGGAGCGAGACTTGAAGGCAAGATTAATCAATATTTGCTCTGCTTGTGTTACATTAAATGTGTATGACTAAATAACCTTGTTTTATTTGTATATATCTTTATATAACCCTACTAGCTTTCCGCCCGCAGCTTCGCCGCGTGGAGTTCGGTTATATCGCGTTTCCAAGAGAACCTTTCAAAAGTCTGGGATAAAAACTATCCTATGTTCTTTCTCAAGGTCAACTCTATCTCTGTACCGAATTTCATTAAAATCAGTTCAGTGGTTTAGGCGTGAAAGCGTAGCAGACAGACAGACAGACAGACAGACAGACAGAGTTACTTTCGCATTTATAATATTAGTAGGGATCATATGGTTTGTTTTCGTATATATTTAATGGATTTCTTGTCAGCAGGTCCGTGATGACTTCGAGTCGTTGAAGACGTCTCTTCATCCGCATCTGTCGTCGTTGGCGTCTCTAGCTCAAGGCACTCCTCTCACCACAGCTGGTAGTGTGTTCGCACTCGCTGGTGGTGACCAGGGTTCCTTCCGTCCGGGGAACTTCCCCTACGCCCCCCCCGCGTTCCTAGCCCCCGCGCCCCCTCCCCCCGCACAGCCAGTTGGTTCCGCATCATCATCATCATCCGAAGGCAGCGCGGCCGGCTGGAGCTTCGAAGAACAATACAAGCAGGTCCGTCAGGTATGTAGAGGTTCACGCTATATTTTTTTTTATCCATAATTCATTCCCCTAATAGATTATAAGTGGAAGAAATGCTTCAATCGGATTGACATGTCCCATTACGATGATAATAGGCCAATAGTGAACTGCACCTGTCAATTTATATAAAGCGCTGTAAATATTTACCCCATAACAACATAATCGGGACACATTCGACCGATGGCTGGCAACAACCCCTTAGTAAGTTATTCATAACTAGAATCACATTATATCCAATAAACGCTTTCTTTCGCTACGTCGCCCCGACCTAACCCGTTTTCCCTTTGTTAAATATTTCATTTATTCGGCGTAGGGATTGCAGACGAGGGGTCATTTTGACCCTGGATCGTGCAACAATGATCTAACACGTTGCGTTAGGGTTACAATATTGTCAATACTTACAATCCATACGTCCTTCGACAATACTAAATGAAGTGGTTTGCGTTTTTAAAATCGATTTTTCGTATATTTAAAGCGACCGCCGTGGTAGTATAGCTTGTTCCCCAGACTTTCACGGCGACCGTTAACGATCTGTTAAGTCCTTTATCATGGGAACAAAACAAGGAAAATTATCGTCTCCGATTGATAACTTCGGTTTTAACAAGACTTTAAATGTTGGCCATACCTTTAAACGTGCGTTTAAAACTACCGAAGACTACCGCTCGGTACGATTCCCCGAAACTCGTGGAGACTGAAAACGAAAGATGATTTAACACATATAATTATTTCAACGACTGTATTGAGTTGTTTTAACATAATTAGATTTTACATTTACACAATTATACCTGTTTTTTTTTTTATGTGATGATAAAAATTACGAGTAACAGCGCCATTTTGAGTTTGCGGATCGTTGGTATCGTAAAATTAAAATATTACACTAATAACCTAGTATTAGACAATGCTCTTTAAGTGGAAAGCCTTAAAGCATAACTATTCATCTCACAATTAAGTTGATAATTGAATGAAAATCTTTATACTTTAATGGCTTTATTTGTACGAATACTTCTTTAGTGAGTGAAAGAGAAGTTTCTTCGACTTGTATGTGTCGTATTCAATGCTCATTGCTTTATGAATCTTGACAGTTTATAGTTGTTTTGAAAACATTGATATTATATATTAATTTAAATTATCGATTAAAAATTCATTGGTCAGTTTAAGCATAGAAAGTATGGCAACACTCAGTTTTACGACATTAATTAGAAGTATCGTTGCAATTGTGGATCAATACAATTTAACATCACAATAAATAAATAAAAAATCACATATACATATGCGTTTGGAATTTACAATGTGTAGGTGTGAATTTACATCAATTAATAGTGAATATTCAAAGTACTGAGACGCGGCTCGAATGATTTCAATGTTGCCATTTTTTTACGATTGCCTTTTAAATTGTTAGATTTTGCTATAATTGTTAGCACTTCATAAAATATTTTTTTATTATTTCTTTTAATCAATATATTTTATTTTTATCCACGACTTTCTTTGTTCTTTTCCGTCTAACCCGCGTCTGTAACCACGTAGTTGCTGATTAAAATAATAGCGTTTGAAATTTGCATTTCTATGTTTTAAATGAATCATTTAATTCTCAACCTTATTGTTAAGAATTAGAGTTTCAAATTGAATTGTACTTCATGGTATTTAATTCAGTAACATCAATGCTCCATTCCTATTGGATGTTTTTATTATTCAAATAGTCTATTGTTGAATATTATTTTGTTATCTAAACGATCTATACTTTATTATCGAATTGAATAATTTCAATAATATGAGATTTTTAATTTTTTTCTTGTATCCCAGTTTATTCCAGTTTCCTATCTCTTCTAGATTTATACATAAATATATATATTTTCTATAATATTGTAGAACATTCTCGAATACTGGTATAGCGAAGATTCATAATATAATATTCCTTTAATGTTTTCACGTACAGTGACTCCCGGGAACAGCGACCTCGCATTTGTCACATCCCGACCAAAACACGCTAGGGGGCGCCGTTGTTTATCGACTACACGTTTGATTTATATCATTTATCACTAACAATATTATATATAGTATAATATATTTATCATTATAATATCTCACATTGAAAATTGAGTGAATAATTTCGTTTTTATATTCTGGTAAGTTCAGATGATAATTTTACTAAAGAGGTTGTTTTCGAATTTGTATTACTTGTATTTAATTTTCATTTTAATAAATTACTATCGTATTAAAATAGATAGTTTAGTAAAAGATAGATAGTTTGAGGGCGCGGGTTCGATCCTGGCCCGGGCAAGTACCAATGTGATTTTTCCGAATCATATGTACTTTCTAAGAGTATTTAGACATCACTGATTAATGGTGATAGTCGTAAAAACAATTAGCCAAAACTATTCACATCATGTAAGGCAGACCCTGGCTATAGCTGGGAAATTGCCAGGTAGAAGAAGAAGAAATTACTATCGTATTAAAAAATAGATAGTTTGCGTATTTTATTCATATATTTACATTTATTATAACAGTTTTATGAAGTGAACATTTAAAAGTATCTTATTTATCTGACACTCGTAGTAAGTTCCTTTAAAGTATTTCTAAGTACGATGTTAAAAGTTGAAGTCATTTAAATCCAATCGTCCATTAGATTCGCCGTGAACCTTTTAAAGTGCTGGTGGCTCTGTTAGAATTTAAAAACCGATGTTTTTTTTTCCAACCAATCGATTAGCCAAGTGAGCCATGGTGGTGGTATTCGAGTGTTTTCGATATTTATTTCGTCTAGACGGTTTATCGACGCATACTTGCTGCTTTATCACTGGAATGTTTTATACACTTCAAACAGATTAGTTTTTAAACTTAGATTTTATATAAATATTTTGCGTAGATTTATATTAACTATTACCTATATATTATATATGTTATGTATCACACGAATTATGTATGTAATCGTAAACCTACTGTTTCAGCCAATTAGGTTAACTTTGAGAGCGAGTCGAATTTTAATAAGCGACTTATACCGGTATGTAGTTAGTATTATCGCTCGGTACAAGCGTGTTACATACGAACTAGCCATTTCATTATATACCATTATCGACCTAAATACTATATAATAAGAATCACAATCGCTCGAACGTATATACGACGATGATCAGACTAAAAACAATGAACAAGAAACAAATTAGTTAAACATTAAAAAACATTTGAGACTTCCGATACTAATTAAGGTGTGTTCGAGTCATTATATATATTTTTTATATTTAGATACGGCTATAATCGTTAAACAGATTTGTCGTCGCAATTAGCCTTAAAATGGTGACTTCATAAAACTATATGATTTCATCGAACGATTGCTCTTTACGACGCATCCACTGTGTTTAAATAGTCAAAACAAAGTTTGAGAACATTTCTAGAACAATAACTTAACAAGTGACATCGGCTGTATAACATAAAACCAAATCAAAATTTCGACTGAAAAACATTTAAATAAAACCTCATTAATGACATCGGCTGTATAATTTTAATCCGTCATATCAATGTTATTAGACAGAAATATATTTATTTAATGACATCGGCTGTATAACATAAACCGAATCAGAAATTCGACTGAAAAACATTTATATAAATCCTCATCTATGACATCGGCTATGTAATTTTAATCCGTCATATCAATGTTATTAGACAGAAATATATATTTAATGTCATCGGCTGTATAACATAAAACCGAATCAGAAACTCGACTGAAAAAACATTTATATAAAACCTTCTCCATGACATCGGCTGTATAATTTCAATCTGTCAACTACATATTTGTCTATTTTGTAATGTCTTAATTGAAGTTCGGTTTTAACTCAATCATATTGAATCTGTTAATATAATTCCCTTATCTAAATGTTTGTTTTTTTCGCACGCGTGTGTCGTAATATGTCGGTGACGAGAACCAACTGACAGACTATTTCTGTCAGACGGCGCAGGGGACGCATGCTTGATAACATTGCATTTTAATTTAAATTATTAAAAAAAAATATTACCTACTTGAGATTTTAGATCCTAGTATAAATAAAATAATGATATGTAACAATTTGTCATACTTTATATTCGACATGTAAACAATGTTTGAAAATCCTTTACATATTATATGAAAATTAAATAATAAAAACAAATGTTTTATTATGGCAATAAAACAAATAGATTCTTCATAGAAATACAGGAAAAACAATTTACAATTCAGTATTAAATGTTAAATGTTTATACTTTGTTGCGGAGTTATTTATTCTGAGGATGTGATTGGTTGATTTATAATATACTTAATTATATTATTATTTATTTTATTTAATATTCATTTACCTAAACTTATTTAGTAGCACTCATATTGAATTACTAAACATTGACATTTAGAGACGTCAACTTGACAAAGTCAAGAGCTTTATTTTTAATCTGTATAAAAAATACAGTCAATTGGCACTTTTTATGATTATCTATTTAATAATCATTGATTTTTATATACAATAGTATTAAAAAATCAGTCTACATAATGACATTAAACTGTTTACATCATCACAAATGAACCGTATATTAGTTAAATCAATTTTAAATAATATAATATGCAAATCAGTATGTAACAGAAAGCCACCCCGAGTGAATTCAAAATGGCCTCTCATTCGATATCTCGCCATATGTATCGACTCAGCGCGCATTAACGTGTCGGGTGACCTCCCGTCACTGCACTATGCACATTCTATTAATAAATTGCATTTCACACGTTTTATACGATTCCGAGATTAATATGTGCGATGTTCGCTTCAATTAGAAAAAAAAAATTAAATAAATTCGAATTTCAAAAATGATAGCGCGATTAAATTCATGCTTACCAACCTTTGATCCTTCAATTAGAACAAAAATTAATAAAATTCGAAATTCAAAAATGATAGCTCGATTGAATTCATGTTTACTTTTTGTTTTGTTTGAAATTATATGTTGTAATATTAGCTATAAATATATCATATTTC